CTCCAGCGTCCGGGTCCCCAGCACCAGCAGCAGCGCCACCGCTCGGGTCCTCAGCTCCAGCAGCAGCTCCACCAGGTGGGTCCGCAGCACCAGCAGCAGCACCACCCCCAGGGTCCGCAGCACCGCAAGGAAGAGCACCCCCAGAGTCGGCAGCTACAACTCCGCTAGCGCCGCCAGCTCCAGAGTCCCCAGCTCCAGCAGCTCCAGTCGTAGTGCTCCCAGAACAACCAGTCCCGGCAGCTCCAGTACCCCCAGCTCCAGCCGAGCCACTAGGACGGCGAAAGCGCCGGACGTACCAGTCACGAAGCTGCTGTGGTGTGAGAGACTGCTCAGCACCCCGAACCGGAGCACCCCCAGACGCAGCAACCCGAGGCTCCGTAGGCTCAGTAGCAGCACCCCCAGGCTCAGTACCCGCAGGCGCAGCACCCCCAGACTCAGCACCCCCAGACTCCGCACACGCCGGCTCAGCACCCCCAGTCGCAGCACCCCCAGGCTCAGTACCCCCAGGCGCCGAACTCTCAGGCACAGTACCCTCAGCTCCAGCACCCGTAGTCCCAGCACCCCCAGGCCCAGCACCCGCAGGCTCAGCACTCCCAGCAGCACCACCTGCAGCAGCACCTGAGTCACCTGTGACCTCGACAGGCTCAGCGACGGGAGGAGGGTCTACCTGAGAGACACCTGAAGGAGCAGGACCCTGAGGGGGAAGGGGGTCTACCGGAGGGGGACCAGGAGCAAGGAAAAGCGGCGGGGGAGGGAGGGGGGCAGTACGGTAGGGGAAGAGACGGTAAAAAGGGACCGACTCGTCAAAGGTGACGTCCTGAGAGGCGAAGACCCGGCGCGAGGTGGGGTGGTAAAACTGCCAGCCCGGCGCGTCAGGGACAAAGCCAAGGAAGACACAGGGAAGCGTGCGGGAGGAGAGCTTGTCCGCGGACGTATCGCGGACAAGGGCACGAGCACCCCACACCCGGAAGCGCGACGCATCGCCAACCTCCCCCGTCCAACGCAGTGTGGGCGAGGTCTCCGGCAAGGAGACACGGGGCCAGAGGTTGAGCTGATGCGCGGCGTACCGGACAGCAAACGGCCACAGAAAATGGGGAGCCGCCGCGTGGACCAAGGAGGTACGAGCGACCTCCATGACCAGGCCAATGCGGCGCTCAGCAACCCCATTCTGCTGTGGGGAGTCCGGAAGCGTGAAGGTCTGCTCGATGCCCTCCGCCTGACAGAAGGTCCTCAAGAGGTCGGAGGAAAACTCACCACCTCTGTCAGAGTGCAGACGCAGGACAGGAAGATCCGTCCGAAAACGGCGGCGGAGCTGGAGACGAACTGTGCGGATCCAAGGGATCAGAACAGCAGGGACCTCACCCTTGGTGCGCAAGGGGAAGACCGTGGTGTAACGCGAGTAGTCGTCGACAACCAGCAAAAAGTACCGCTCACCGCCCTGGCCACGAACGCGGGCTGGGCCCCACACGTCCAGGTGGAGGGTCTGCAGAGGAGCCTCTATCGGGGGGAACGAGGAGGAGTGAGGAGCGGCGCGCTGCCGCCCCTCGACGCAAGGAAGGCAAGGCGGCGCAGGCGAGGCAGGGAGGGGAGGGAGGGACCTGGGAAGACCAGACACAAGGTGGCGACGGTGCATGCCACGGAGGCGTGGCAAGGAGGGGTGACCCAGGCGGTGGTGCCAGAGAAGAGTCTGGTGCGACAGGGAACGACACTCACAGGCGTGGGCCACCAGACCTGACGCGGACACCTGACCGACAGCAGCGACCTGAGGAGACGCAGTGGTCAGTGTGTAGAGACTCGACCCCGGCCGACGAGTAAACGTAGCCAGGTGACGGCCGGTCCTGGAGCACGTGCAGATCGCCACACGCTGTCCTCCAGGGGTAAAGGTGTCAACCCACTGATCCTGGATGACAGCGTTGCTCACCAGGTTCGTCGAGAACGAGGGGAGGTGGAAACCCGTCAACGAGCCAGACGGAACCGCCGGACAAGGGAGCACAGTGGTGGACTGGGCAAGGACTGGGCCCCCAGAGGGGTCAGCCAAGGAGACTGGGACCGGTGCAGGAAGCGGTGTGAGCTCAGTACTGTCTCGAAAGAAGCAGCGGGAAGCACCTGAGTCAAGGGTGAAGGTGTGACAGGTCTCAGCCGGTGCAGTACCTGAGAGAGCAGTCTCTGTGGGTGCTGTACCTGAGAGAGCAGACTCGCAAGCAGCAGGGACAGTGCTGGAGGGAGCAGGTACAGGGGGCACCATACCAGAGAGAGCAGACTCACTAGTACCTAGGGCAGCGGGCCCTATACCTGGGTCAGGCGGCACACACAAGTAACAGTCTCCCTCGGCACTAACAGTCAATGCATACATGGCAGCAATAATAGCATCATAGTCAAGAGCAAAGACATCAACACCAGCCCTCATCAGCTCAGCCCAGCGAGGGCGCTCAACATCCTCGCCCATCTCCTCACGCCAAGCGTCGTCAAGGCGGAAGAAGCAGCGGTACTGAGTGTGGAACTTTCCACACGTCTGCCCCTTGCGATCACCTGTGCGAATGACATAGGAACAGCGGCCACTGCCCCCCGACGTCCCACGCTGAGCAAGCCACTCACGAAGCTGCTGGGTCGACTGGGGACGCTGCTGCTGCTGGGAGCTCTGGCCCGAGCCGGTGCCTCCACTCCGACCTCCACCGCCGCCACTACCTCCGCTCCGACCGCCACCACCGCCACCGCCACCGCCACTGCCGCCACCGCCGCCACTGCCGCCGCTGCCACCACCGCCACTGCTCCCGCCGCCGCCCCCGCCTCCGCCGCCGGCCCCACTCCCACCGGCACTCCCGCCACCGCTCCCTCCAGCACCGCCTCCCCCCCCACCTCCCCCACCCCCTCCCCCCCCAGCGCCACCCCCGCCACCCTTGCCCCCCTTGCCCTTGCCGGTGCGGCGCCTCCCACCAGGAGCAGAAGCAGCGCCAACAGACTCAGCACCAAGGAAGTCAACAGCAGCAGCAGTAGCATAGGAGGGAGCGAGGGGAGAGGGAGAGCACCCCTCAAAGATGGGGGTGCGAGGAGCGCCGCGAGCAGCACCAACAGCTACAATGCTCTTCTCGGCTGCTAGCAGCTTCTCCTCTAGGAGGGCGACAGTGAGCTCAGTGGGACAGCGAGCAAGGAAATAGTCGCGCACTGAGCTGAGGGTGTCAGGGAGACGGGTGACTATGAAGTGGAGTGCCCAGTACAGGGGAGGGGGGTTCTTAGCGCAGAACTCGGTGGGAAGGGCGGCACGCAGGCGAGCATCACTAGTGCGAAGGTGGGTGATAAGATCGGCGACTGTAGCAAAGGTGGACAGGTCAGGGAACAGGTAAGGCAGCATGAGACGGCTAAGCTCGGCTGTGGCAGGTGAGGAGTAGCGAGCAACGACAGCGTCGTATAGGGCCTTAGCGGTTTTGCAGTCGCCAAAGTGCTCTAGCTCAGCTAACGGCAGGTGACTGCGAATAGCCAGGCGAGCTGCAGCGTCACGAGTCTGCCACTGTGAACGTACACTAAGCTCGGCTGTGGCAGCAGGAGCAGCGGCAGCACCAGACGCGTAGTCATAGAGGGAGATGTGGTCCGTGCTATTGCTCATAAGATACAACTGCAGGTCGTCGAGCCAGGAAGTGAACTGCACGGGACGGCCCTCAGCATCGAAGGAAAGAACGCGAATAGAGGCCATAGCTCAGGCGTGAGGGCACAGCAGAGCAGCGGCAGCAGCAGAGGGGACGCGCTAGAGCGAAGCTAGCAGCCACAGCAGGAGCAAGCGGCGGTGCACAGGCAGGGAGCAGCAGGCGAGGCGGGCGGCGCTGCAGGCGGGAAGTGCGGCGGGCGGGCTGCGAAGCGGGCAGCGGGGCGGGCGGGCGACGCGGCGAGCGGGCAGCGCGGCGGGCGGCTGCGAAGCGGGCAGCGGGCGGGCGGGCGACGCTGCAAGCGGGCAGCGGGCGGGCGGGCGACGCTGCAAGCGGGCAGCGGGCGGGCGGGCGACGCTGCAAGCGGGCAGCGGGCGGGCGGGCGACGCTGCGAGCGGGCAGCGAGCGAGCGGGCGACGCTGCGAAGCGGGCAGCGGGAGGGCGGGCGACGTTGCGAGCGGGCAGCAAGCGGGCGGGCGACGCTGCGAAGCAGGTAGCGGGCGGGCGGGCGGCGCTGCGAGCGGGCAGCGAAGCGGGCGGGCCGCGAAGCGGGCAGCGAGCGGGCGGGCGGGCTGCGAAGCGGGCAGCGGGGCGAGCGGGCGACGCTGCGAGCAGGCAGCGCGGCGGGCGAGGGGCGAGCGGGCAGCGTGGCGGGCGGGCGACGCTGCGAGCGGGCGGCTCGGCGGGCGGGCGACGCTGCGAGGGGCGCGCGAGGGCGCTAGCGAGGGGCGCGCGAGGGCGCTAGCAAGGGGCGCGCGAGGGCGCTAACGAGGGGCGCGCGAGGGCGCTAACGAGGGTGCGCGAGGGCGCTAACGAGGGGCGCGCGAGGGCGCTAACGAGGGGCGCGCGAGGGCGCTAACGAGGGCGCACGAGGGCGCTACGAGGCTAGGGCACGGGGTAGCGTGGTAACCGCATGCGAGCGGTGGTGGGCCCTTAAAAAAAAACGGTCGGTAGGTCCTAGGGACCTCCTGCTCTGAATACCATTTCAGAATAACTAGGCAAGAATGGATGAACTAGCAGAAGTTTGGGTACAAATATGAAACCCTAGTTGGGGTTGTACCCCATATTGGCTACCCCACTACAGCCTACAAGCATAATACAGTTTAACATCCTTCCCAGCTGCTCCAACATATGACACACAAAATTTTGTGGTTCGTGTTTGTGCAGGTCTGCCATGCACCCAGATGTGAGGTGTTCGTTGTTTGATGATAGTGGTATGACAAATAGGTTGCCATGCCATGTATTGACGCTTATGTTTTTATTAATAAAACCTTCTCTGCTTCAGAGCAGCCATGCACATGGCCACTACAAAGAAGTGGAACAAAGCATAATATTGTTTATGTAAAAGTTGTCATCAATAGACTACAGGAACACATTCATCACATTCCTGTTGGGACTCATGGTGCTGGGCACCTGTAACCTGTTCAAGCATGGTTCCGTGATAGAACGGGAAGGGAAGAGGGGGTATGGCAGATAAGCGAGGGTTGGATGTGGACGGGGCAGAGGGGTGAGCAAAAGGGGAAAGAGAGTGAGCAGGGGGGAGAAGGGGGAGAGCAGGGGGGAAAGCCAGTAAGCAGGGGAAACCGAGGGGTCTGAACAGGGGAAATAAGAGTAGTGTGGGGAAAAAAGGTTAAACGAAGGGGAATCGAGAGTAAACAGGGAGGAAAGGCGGGTGAGTCCAGGGGGAGAGAGTGAGCAGAGGGGGAAAGAGTGAGCAGGGGGGGAAAGAGTGAGCAGGGCGGGAGAGAGTGAGCGGGGGGGGAGGGAGTGAGCAGGGGGGAAGAGAGTGAGCAGGGGCGCAGAGTGAGCAGAGGGGGAGAGAGTGAGCAGGGGGGGAGAGAGTGAGCAGGGGGGGAGAGAGTGAGCAGGGGGGGAGAGAGTGAGCAGGGGGGGAGAGAGTGAGCAGGGGGGGAGAGAGTGAGCAGGGGGGGAGAGAGTGAGCAGGGGGGGAGAGAGTGAGCAGGGGGGGAGAGAGTGAGCAGGGGGGGAGAGAGTGAGCAGGGGGGAAGAGAGTGAGAGAGTGAGCAGCGGAAAGAGATTGAGGGGGGGAGGGATTGAGCAGGGGGGTAGATCGTGAGTAGGGGAAAGAGATCGAGGGGGGAAGGGATTGAGCAGGGGGGTAGATCGTGAGTAGGGGAAAGAGATCGAGGGGGGAAGGGATTGAGCAGGGGGGTAGATCGTGAGTAGGGGAAAGAGATCGAGGGGGGAAGGGATTGAGCAGGGGGGTAGATCGTGAGTAGGGGAAAGAGATCGAGGGGGGAAGGGATTGAGCAGGGGGGTAGATCGTGAGTAGGGGAAAGAGATCGAGGGGGGAAGGGATTGAGCAGGGGGGTAGATCGTGAGTAGGGGAAAGAGATCGAGGGGGGAAGGGATTGAGCAGGGGGGTAGATCGTGAGTAGGGGAAAGAGATCGAGGGGGGAAGGGATTGAGCAGGGGGGTAGATCGTGAGGCGAGGGGGAAAGAGAGGAGTGAGAACAGGGGGAAAGGGAGTGTACATGAGAGAAGAGAGTGAAGGGTGGGGAAGAGAGTGAGTGGAGGGCAGAGCGTGAGCTGGAGAGAGTGAACGGCAATGGGAGGGGTAGTGAAGGCGACGGGCGGGAAGTGAGTGCGACTGGCGGGAAGCGAGTGCGACGGGCGGGAAGCGTGTGCGACTGGCGCGGTGTGCGACGAGCGGGGGAAGCGAGAGCGACGGGCGGGGGAAGCGAGTGCGACGGGCGGGGGAACGGAAGGCGCCGTTCGGGAGAAGCGAAGGCGACGGGCGGGAAAAGCGACGGGAGGGGGAATTGAGCGCGACGGGGTCGGGGGAAAGAGAAGGCGACGGGGGAGGGGAAGTGAAGGCGACAGGCGTGGAAAGCGAGGGCAACGGGCGGAGCGAAGGCGACGGGCTGGGGTCGCGAAGGCATCGGAAGGAGGTCTTGAAGGCGACGAGCTGGGGAAGCGATGGCGAAAGAGATTGAAATCGTGGGGCCTTGGGAAAGGAAAACGACGGCAAGGAGAGGTTCATGCTTTGGCGAAGGGTCACGCTACGATATTCCGTGCGAGTATACGCATCAGTTGCACTAAACCTGCATTTCGACACCAACGAACACTACTTTGCGCGTCGTCATCGAAATCCGCGCCACACACATTCGTAAGGCGCCTCTGATTCCCCGCTATCTCTACAGGTACGCTCCCTGCCTAGTTATCTGCGTGCTATCTCAGACTGTGCACAGTTTGGGATCTACGCCCTTTTCAGGTTGTGGGAAGGACCCCACCTAGCACTCGTATTCTTGTACGCGAGAAACTTTTGTCGCAAATTGGTTTCGCGAGTGAAAGTGCTTCGCACCCCAACCGAACCTCTGTCTGGTTGCCTTCCGAACCTATTTTTTTCCGTTGACTTGCAATGAGTAATTCAGGTCTTGGGCTTTAACAACAACGGAGCTTTCAAAGCAAGTTGGTACACAACAAACAAAGAGTTGTAATCATACAGCATAATACAGCCAGCCAGCCTACTGCAATGCAAGTCAAACACTTTGATTATAAATCTGTCTAATAGAATAAGAAACTGCCACATAAGAAAGAAACTCGTTTTCGCACCCATGAAACGTAGCTGAGCTGAATGTTCTCCAAGCAGCATCGCCAGGAAGGGCTAGACCTCACTAAACCCCACTTCCTCTCAAGCTGCTGATTACCCAGTCGAAGGTCTTACAAACTGGCAGCTGTGGTCGACGGTGGTGCAAATCACAAGCCATCATGCCATGTGGTACGCAGTTAACACAGATACACGCCACGCCGCACATCACATCCAATGTGATGCCGCACAAGATGGTGGTGGTGCTACTGCTGGTGCTGCACCTGTTGCTATAACCACTGCTGCTGCGGATACTGTAGCAACCACATGTCACAATGAGCAGCACATAGCAGTTGAAACAGAGGGCCATGCTAGGGATGCTTGAAGCTTCTCACTCCTCTCGCATCCCCTGTATCATTCGTCAGGAAGACGCTGTTGCGGGCACAAAAGCCCCCCCTGTTCCATCTCCTGCTGCTGTTGCTACAGATGGTGCAGAAACAGCCTCGTCCACTGGAGCTGCAACACCAGTCCCTCCTACTGAAGCAGTTCCAGCATTCCCCGCATCCTTGGCCCCAGCGGAAGCAGTGGTGGACGGGGCAGCAGCACGGGTGCCAGTGGCAGCAGCAGCGGCACTGATGGCAGAGGCCTGCAGCTCCTGAATGGTGATGAGGTGGTGCGAGGACTTCCTGCGCTGCATGCGCAGGCGCTTGAAGCAGTCGAACAGAGGCACCTCTGATACCGGGATGAACTTGGCCACAAAGGCCAGCGGCAGACTGCAAAGGCAAGAGGGGGGGGGGGGGCGAGAAGAGAAACAGCCGGATCAAGCTCATGCAGAAAAGATATGGCAGCAAAGAGGACTTCAGCTGAAGCCCATTCGGCGCCACAGCTTCCAGGAAAGTGAGGCGGTGCGGAGATTTGGTAAGAAATTACGACCGAGCAATGTGTCGTCGCACAACAAGAAAGCCAGACAGGCAGACCGACAGACAGCCAGACAGGCAGACCGACAGACCTACAGACAGGCAGATCGACAGACCTACAGACAGGCAGACCGACAGACCTACAGACAGGCAGATCGACAGACCTACAGACAGGCAGATCGACAGACCTACAGACAGGCAGATCGACAGACCTACAGACAGGCAGATCGACAGACCTACAGACAGGCAGATCGACAGACCTACAGACAGGCAGATCGACAGACCTACAGACAGGCAGATCGACAGACCTACAGACAGGCAGACCGACAGACCTACAGACAGGCAGATCGACAGACCTACAGACAGGCAGACCGACAGACCTACAGACAGGCAGACCGACAGACCTACAGACAGGCAGACCGACAGACCTACAGACAGGCAGATCGACAGACCTACAGACAGGCAGATCGACAGACCTACAGACAGGCAGACCGACAGACCTACAGACAGGCAGATCGACAGACCTACAGACAGGCAGATCGACAGACCTACAGACAGGCAGATCGACAGACCTACAGACAGGCAGATCGACAGACCTACAGACAGGCAGATCGACAGACCTACAGACAGGCAGACCGACAGACCTACAGACAGGCAGACCGACAGACCTACAGACAGGCAGACCGACAGACCTACAGACAGGCAGACCGACAGACCTACAGACAGGCAGATCGACGTGGTACCTGATGGCACCGATGCCAACGCAGAGCAGCCACTGGTTCCAAGAAAGTGAGGTGGTGCCGGCAAAGGACTGGAAGACCTCCACCACGAGCGCTTGGAAGGTGATGGAGAAGCAGAGCACGGCAATGAAGATGGGGCTCCTGTGCAGCCGCTCAAACACGTTCAGCTTGCTGGGTCGCCGCGCGTTGATCTCGTTGAACAGCTGCGCATGGGGAGGGGATGATGAACGGAGGTGAGGAAGGTGGGAATGAGGGATGGACGGGATGGTGGGCAAGAAGAAGAAGAAGAAAGGTTGAACAAAAGAACGGTGCACATGGTGAACAACGGGGAGGCTGAGAGAGGTGAGGAGAACACTGGCGAATAAATGGGCGGCTGATTCTGTTAAGGCCAGGATAAGAAGGAATGGTGCAATGGAACGAGGGACTACGGCAACAAGGAATGTTCAACCCGCAAGCCTCAAGGGTTAAAGATTGAAGGGTTGGTGGAGTGCCTGGCAGAAGACGAAGGTGTTGAAGATGATGGTGTTGTTGAGCTGCTTGGGGTTGGCCGTGTTTCCAATGCCCACCAGAGAAATGCCCCCATAGTTGAACACCAGTAACACTGTCAGCTGGAAGGCTGCCTGTGATGGGGAAAAGGATAATGAAGGGGATGGGAGGAGGGTGAAGGGGACGAGGGGAGGGGAGAAAGGAGGACGATGAAAGGGATTGAGTTGGGGAAGGAGACATGCTGTGGAAACTGAGGAAGGAGGAAATGTGACCTGGAAAGTAGAGGAGTCATGGAGGCAAGAAAAAGGGGATTCAAGCAAGGTGGCGACAGGGATCGGAACATGTGGAGAAACAGAAAAAACAAAGTGGTGAGGAAGGAGGGAGAGGAGAAAATAGGAGTTTAGGGGGACCGAAGAGTAAAATTTTATCCCTTTTTTCGGAATCAAGGAGATGTTGAAGCAAGGAGTGTGTGTGTACCTGGGTGAAGATGTTGCGCCACATGACATTGGTGATGAGCGGCGCACTGCATAGCAGGACACGGGATTATGTGGTGCGCTTGGGTGAGTTTGGGGAAGGGTAGTGAGGAGAAAGAGGCAAGGGGACATGCCAAACACAAGAAGCGAGGAAACAAGGCGAGGCTGCAGGGAGAAAGGTGAAGGGAGCTTTCTTTCAAGGAGGGTAGGGAGGAGGGAGGGGGATAGGAATACACAAAACAAGGGTGGAGAGCAGAGGCAGGTGTCTCACGTTCTGCCAACTGGGGGCTGCTCCAGAAGGTCGGAGGTGGGCGGCTCTGTGGCGAGGGCCAGCGCTCCCAACGTGTTCATAATGAGATTCACCCACAGCAGCTGGCCAAAGGGGAGCGGAGCAGGGGTGTGAAGGGGACGAGGGGCAGGAGCAGGGAGCAAGAGGAGAGTGCAAGGAGAGGGGAAGTATATGATTAAGAAGGCCATGTAGGAGTGTCGAGTGTGCACGAAGAATGAAGTGCACACATACGAATTGGAATCCCTTGAACATGAGAACTAAGGCATCGTCAAAGCATCCTTCAAGCCGAAAATCCTGCACGCAATACACAACTGCGCTCACTACAGCCATTCATATGAGAGAAGGAAGAGTGCACACAGCCGTAAAGACGCACGAACGACAACACAGCCCTCCACACAGAGACAGCCATCAATCGAGCCATAAGCCATACACCTATCCTCGCACCATCTAACCGAATCATCTAGCCATCAATCTACACACCTGCACGGTGGTGAGCGGCACGGAGCCATCAGTGAGAGCGGTGATGAAGTTGAGGGAGAGCGCGCAGATGTTGACGGTGAGCTGGAACTGAATGTACTTCTGGATGCTCGCAAAGACCGACCGCCCCCACCGCACCACGCGCACGATCGACGCAAAGTTGTCGTCCAGAATGACAATGTCCGAGCTCTCCTTTGCGACTTCTGTGCCGGATAATCCCATGGAGAGACCGATGTCCGCCTGTGTACACAGGAAGGAGGGGGGAAGAGAGAGACATGCATGTGTTGTGCTCTTCAAGTTGTCGTCCAGAATGACAATGTCCGAGCCCTCCTTGGCCACCTCCGTGCCTGACAGGCCCATGGACAGCCCGATGTCCGCCTGCCGTGGTGGCGGAGAGAAGGACGAGACAGGGGGACACACTTGTTCAAAACGTGAAGGTGTTGCCCAGAATGACCATGTTGAGGCTCTCCTCAGCCTCCTCCGTGCCTGAGAGGCCCGTGGAGAGACTAATGTCTGCCTGTGTACAAGGGGGGGAAGGGAGGAAGAAAGTGGAGGAAGAAAGTCGAGAGATGGCTTTGTCAACAGCTGATACCCTCACCGCCATCTTTCTCCAACGTGATACCTGCGCTGCACTGCAGCGCCTCGTAAAGCTGCCAGTCGCCTGATTGTCAAACGCCTCACTTAGACCTCATAACCTCCGTCCTCCCCTGTAGAGACTGCCTGCCACAGACCTGCCTCCCTGCGTGCGCTCACCTCACAAAGAGTAGGTGCATTTTTGAGAATTCTCAGACCTGCCTGTTTGCGCGCGCTCACCTCATAGAGCGCGGGTGCGTCGTTGGTGCCGTCGCCTGTGACGGCCACCACCTCGCCCATGCGCTGCAGCAGCGACACCAGCAGATGCTTGTCCGTGGGGGACGACCGCGCCATCACCTGAGGAGGCGGGGAGAGACAGGCAGAGCGACGTGGGGAGGATGAAGGGGAGGTGGCAGGGGGAAGGAGGCTAACTGGTTGGTACTATTGCAGCTGTTTGTGAGAATCTGTATGTGTTGCCGGGGAAGTAATCAAAACAGAGGGCCTCTGCAGGTACCAACGATGCCAAAGGGAAGGCGTTCTGACAAGAAGAGCAGAAATCCAGATGACAAAAATCCAGTCAGCAAAAATCCAGACGGCAAAAATCCAGACAACAAAAATCAAGGAAGAGCAAGCAGGGCAAAGGAGCAACGGGGGGGCTCACATCAATGGTGGGAATGATCTCCATCATGCGATCCAACGGCAGCACTCGAAAGTCCTTCCCCTCTATCACAATCCCACCAGGCGTGAGAATCCCGCACTCGCGTGCAATGGCCTGCGCCGTGAGCACATTGTCCCCCGTCACCATGCGCACTTTCACCCCTGCCTTCTGACACCGAGCCACGGCCTCGGGCACGCCTGGGCGGCAAGGGTCCTTGATTCCCACGATGGCGAGGAGAGAGAGGTTGGTGTCTGGGAACTGCCAGGACTCGGTGTCGTCTGGGATGGATGTGGAAGGTACGGGGGCGGATGCGAGGGCGATGCAGCGCAGGGACGATGCTGCCATGGCTGCGATGGATGCTTGCACTGCCTCGAGCTGTGGGGGGGGGGCAGAGGATGCGGAGGGGAGGGGCGACGGGGCAGCAGAGGGCGAAGGGAACAGTTGGGAGGGGTGGATTGGATAAGTGAGGGAGGAGAGGTACAGGGAGGGCAGGAGAGGTACAGGGAGGGCAGGAGAGGGTGGGTGGGTGATGAGAGGACGGGCGACGAGGGGAGAGGAGGGGAGAGAAGCTGGCCTACAGGCTTCACTGTCAAGAATCAAGACGAGAGAGACCTATCCATCCATCCCCATCCACAGCTCACCTTATCGTGAGTGAAGGTGGCAGCGTTGCCCTGCGCATCCATTCAGTGCGTGCAATTAGCCAGCACCATCCCTGCTGCCCCTTTTCCCGTGCGCCACTACCACCGCGTCACCATGCATTGCGTTTGCATCAATAAACCCAAACCAGACATACCTTATCGTGAGTGAAGGCAACAGCATTGCCCTGCATGTCCATCCAGTGCGTGCAGTTAGCCAGCACCATCTCCGCCGCGCCCTTCCAGTGCACCACCACGTCGCCCCCGGCACGCCTCACCGCCACGCCCGCGCGCTTCTTGGTGGAGTTGAAGGCTTCAACGGAAATGATGTCTGACGAGTGCCGCAGCCCGTTGTAGTCCATGCCCAGCTGGTGGGGAGAGGGTGGGAGGGGGTGGAGAGGGGTGGAGATGGGTGCGGAGGGAGGATTTTTGCAGGTGTCTCAAAGGTCGCCCGCGCGCTTCTTGGTGGAGTTGAAGGCTTCTACTGAGATGATGTCTGACGAATGGCGCAGCAAGTTGTAGTCCATGCCCAGCTGGTGGGGGAAGGGGAGGAGAGGGGCGGTGCGCAGACGTGATGAGAGTGGTGGGTTGCATTTAGTTTGGTTGATTAGTTGGGTTTGTCAGCGATGCAGATTTGACAGAAAAGAATTCCACAACGGATTGCGAGGACATGCATGGGAAACAAGCGAGGGGCGATGGCGGAAGCGAACTTGGATGAGGGGCGAGCGCAGGACTTACAGCGAGCGCCCACTGGATGATGGCCGTCTCTGTAGGACTTGCCGATACCTCTGCTTCGCCTCCGTTCTGCATACACACGCGGGGTGGTTGCATTGCAAGCAGACATGGCAAGAGACAAGGATTACGGAGATGCACGGGGACTGGAAAGCTCCTGAATGCACGGAGAAGTTCCTTGATGTCAAAAGCCATGCCGAGCCGCTCCATGCAACGCAATGTGCTTGCTACATTACCTACCACCACAACATGCAGTGACGCACCTCGGGAATGAAGACTGTTCCGGTGCTGTTCTGCGCCACACCCTCCAGAATAACCTGCAGCAGCACCCAATCGCAAGCACACACACCAGAATGGGTGCTGAATTTTGGCACTTCAAGAAACCGAGGCAGCCCGAGGAGTTTACATGAGCCAAGAGCGAGGGCTGCTTGCTTGTGACACACACGTCACAACATGGCAGGCGAACATGAGTGCGCAATGGAGGGGGTGGTAGGAAAGAAGTTTCAAATGGAAGGAGGTGGTGTGAGACCTGAAGGAGCGGGGAGGAGGGGTCGAAGTTGTTGATGGAGTCGGGTTGGTGCAGCTCCCCTCCTTGCCACTCCCGCACCACCGTCATCTGCCCTCCAGAGAACGGGAGGCAACGAGGCATTGAGAAACATTGGAGCAAATTCAGCACATGGCACAGGCCGGAGTGCAGAGGTGCTGCAATGACGTGATGGCATTAGAACCAGGTACAAGGACAGAAATCGGCACCCCCCACCAGGAAAACGTGACTGGCTGATTGCGAAGCAGCAAGGTCTGGCGGTAGGGAGAGCGTGAGGTGAGGGAGAGCAAGCGAGTGTGAATATAACTAAGTACACGTGCGAGTGAGAGGGGGAGATGATAAATGGAACCTGTGGTGGTGCGAAGCGAACCTGGTTGAGGGTGAGAGTGCCGGTCTTATCGCTGCAGATGGCAGTGGCCGAGCCCATGGTCTCACATGCCGCCATGTTGCGCACCAGCGCCTTGTCGTTCATCATCTGCCGCATTGAATAGGCCAGGCTGCAGCAGGGGAGAGAGAGACAACCGGTCAGCAGATGGATTGCTTGTGAGTTAGACATACAGAGAGGTGCGGGTAGAGCTTTGGGAGGTTGGAGAGAGCGTGGGGAGCGAAGCAGCTGGAAGACAAGGGCCTGGAGAGAGGAGAAGAAAGAAACCAAATGGACAAGGGCCTGGAGAGAAGACAGTATGCAAGGTGGGCAGAGCAGCAGCAAGGAAAGGTAGTAACCGCAAGGACGAAACGCGAGGCACACTCACGTGAGAGTGACGGCAAGAGGGAGGCCGTCGGGAATGACAACAACAACGATGGAGACGGCGATGGCGATCTCGTCCACTAGCTTAGCTCCACGCCCACAAAGGCCTTTTGGAGGACTCGATAGAAAACCAGCTCGCGTCAACACAACGGCGAGCTCACTACTCACGTGAGAGTGACAGCAAGAGGGAGTCCCTCAGGAATGGCGACGACAACGATGGAGACGGCGATGGCGATCTCGTCGACGAGGTCCTTGATGACGTCCACGAAGCCCTGGCCGCTGTAGTAGTCCGTGAAGTAGCGCACCACCAGGAAGATGAGCACACACACCGCCACCGTCACCCCCACCTTGCCGATGGCCTTCGCCACGCCCGACAGACGCGCCTGGGGAGGTTTTTGTGAGGGGTTGTAATTGGGAGGATGAGAAGGGTGTGTGAGATTGTGGTAAGGAATGCGCTCTGTGACAAGGCGGATGTATGTGTGTGTGTGTGCATGTGTGTGAAAAGCTGAGATTGGAGTGGATGGATGGAAGCAGAGGCAGCACGGACCTGCAGTGGTGTGACGGACTCGTCATCCTTGTTGACTGTGGCCATGATGCGCCCCCACTCCGTGTTCGTGCCCACTGCCGTCACCTGCCATGCCCGCACGTGCATCCACGCCACGCCCACAATACGCACGATCGCGTGCGCATGCATGCAAGGGCACGCACACATGGATATGCGCGTGGGAGAGCGAGGGAACCAAAGAATGAACGAGCACACACAGGCACAGGGCATGTCACACAAGAGCAGCAGAGCGACAAACGTAAAAGATGAAGCAGGGGAGCGAGAGAAGTCAAGCGGGGAAAGTGCAGGGAGCAAAGATGCACTGCTGTGTGATGCTGGCCGAAGCAATCATAGTGGCACATGAGAGTGAGGCAGAGCAGCAACGCAGAGCAGCAGCAGGGGGCAGGACTCACGAGCATGGTGCCATAGCCATCCACCACCTTGCACCCTGACATGAGGAATGGCCGGTACGCATCCTTGTGCATCTGGTTCCAGCATTCAGGACGGAGGGAGGGGAGAACAGTGCAAGGCTCCATCAGCCATGAGCAGGAATACATGCCAAAACTTGACAAATATAAACCCACGGACTATCAGTGCATGAAAGGGATTGTCGACGAGAAGCAACTCATTTACCCAACTACCCCCTTCCATGTTCCAGCAACACGAGAGCAGCCATAACGGCATGCACAAGGGAGCAGAGACTCACGGGGTCACTCTCGCCAGTCATGTAGGACTCGTCGATGGTGAGCGAGTGGCCTGAGATGAAGACCCCATCGCCCGGCACCTGGTCGCCTATGGCCAATGGCACCACGTCCCCCACCACCAGGTCGAATATCGATGCTGCCTGGCTTCGGCCTCCTCTGATCACCTGCAATGGGCAGAGAGAGGGGGGTTGAAGAAGTGGAGGAGAACGTGACACGGGATCACAATCACAATGGTCCAGAACGGCACCATGGGCAGATCAGAGTGAGAAGGGTGACGGGGGAGGGAGAAACAGGGTGAAAGTGAGGGTGGGAATGAGGTGGAGCAGGCAGCACGGAGACAGCAGCTTAAAGAGACAACTCAACTGAACACATACCGAAACAGCCAAGCTAGCCAAGCGGCCAGAGGGGGCGGAGCGGGTGACTTACCTTGAGCTGAATGTCCTCCTTCTCGGCATCCAGCCCTTGGAACTGCAGCGCCTGCCGATAGTCCGTCACCGCTGATGCCACATGAGTGAGGGGGGGGAGGTGGCGGGAGGGGAAAGGGAAAAGAGGAGGACAGCGCGACGAAGCGTGAGAAGGAGAAAGGGGGAGGGATACGGAGAGGGTGAGAAGTAAGAGCGGCGACGCTGAGTGAAGTGCAGTAGAAGCGAGGAAGGAACGGGAAGCGGACTAAGACAGGGGTGGATGGCACAGACACAGAGATACAAGCGAGAAGCGAGGTGAAGCCAGTCAGACAAGACACAGAGAGAGGCCAGAATGCACACATGAGGCACCCCATCCGCACCGCTTTCCCTGTCCGTCCGCGTGCCTCTCACCAGTGACAGTGACGACGATGAGCACGGCGATGCAGATAGCCACACCCTCGTGCCATCCCTCGTGCGCTCCCTGCGCCGATACAGAACAGCCACGCAGGGGCAGGGGCAGGGGCAGGGGCAGGGGCAAGGGTGGAGTCGGAGAAAGAAGGAAAGAGGCAGGTGATGTCATCGAGGTTTTCAAATACCAGAGCAATGACGAGCGAGCTTTCTGCTCGGCACAGGGAGAAGACGAGGAGAAGGAGAGGAGAGGAGGAGAGGAATTGGAGGAACGGAATGGGAAGGCGGGGAGGAGGAAAGGAGGGGAGGAGTGGGGAAGGAGTGGAGGAGTGGAAAAGGAGTGGAGAGGAAGAGGAGAGGAGGGAGGGCAGAGGAGAGGAGGGGGAGCAGAGGAGAGGAGGGGGAGCAGAGGAAAGGAGGGGGAGCAGACGAGAGGAGGTTGAGCAGAGGAGAGATGTAGGGCATAGAGCACGGAGCAAGGGAGTACCTCGGCGATCATGCCGAAGAAGAGGGAGAGCGCAGCGCAGATCATGAGGATGATGAGAATCACGTCCTGCGTCGCCTGCCACACGAACCACTGCACTCGCGGAGAGGCACGCACAGCGCATGGGGAGACACGCACGGAGAGGCGAGACAGTCGGTACGGTGGGCAGGAATGGCACGCACAGGGTAGGCGTGACTGCAGCAGCACGTATGAAAAGAACAGAAGACAGGCAAGAGTTGAGAGTGGCAAGAGAGACTAGGTAAAGGACGAAGAAAAAGGGTGGTGCGTGCACGTACGATGAAGGGAGGGAGGGGCTTCTTGGGGTAGGTGTTGGCTCCATACGCCTCTACCCGGCGCTGAAGGTCCTCTGCATCGTCACCGTTGATTCCCAGTTCGAGATCTACGGCCAGACCCGCGCTCAGACCCCTCACCTACATGGAGTAAGGATAGGGACGGGGAAGAGGTACGGTACGGTTGATACCTCTGTAGGCAAGTTCCGTAAGGAATGGTGTGGGCGTCGAGTTAGCTTAGCTAGACAGAAATAGGAAAAGCATATGTGGTTGTATTGGCTGTTTGTGAGTGAAGTAGAAGTCGGGGGGTCGGTGAGAGTCGAGAGCGATGAGTGAGATTGAAGGAAGCGTGACTGACCCCTCCCATGCGGTGCAGGTCATCGAGGTTGGCGTTTGAGTTGAGGTTCACCAGCTGCTCCACGCTGTACGCGAACCCACGCTGCGCTGCCACGCTGCCGCCTGCTGCCGGGGAGAAGGGGGGGTTGAGAGAGAGAGAGAGAGAGAGAGAGAGAGAGAGAGAGAGAGAGAGAGAGAGAGAGAGAGGGGGGGGGGGGGGGGGGAAGAGAGGGAGAGGGAGAGGGGGAGAGAGGGGGGAAGAGATTAAGAGGGAGTGGAGCGAGGAAAGAGACAGGAGGACTAGCAGGTGGTGGAGGTGCGGCTGGTGGAGGAGAGGTACAGACGATGCACCTGCGTGTGCGTCGGTGGAAAAAGGGACTCCCATTTCCTGCTCGTGCTGCTCTTCCAGCAGACTCTTCTGCGTGCTCCTGCTGCTCCTGCTCCTGCTCCTGCTTTGGCTGATGCCCTTCCATATCGCGCGGGTCCACCTGTAACACACGATACGATTCGATAAGATGAGAAACGGAAGAAAAGGGAAACATTGTATCAAAAGCTCAGTCACAAGCGCTGCTAGTAAGCATACCACACAACGAAAAGAACATAGAAGCAAGCGTGGCGACTGGAAGTTCACAACAATCTGAGAAAACGCAAGCACAGCCACATCTTCCGTAAAGGTAGCCGGAAACAAACTAACAATCCGAAAAGCCGTCGTGCAGCGACACTTCCAGTCGTACCTCCTCAATGCCGCCATGGCGTTCGCCCATCGTCGTCGCGGCTCTTCTCGTTCCTCGGGCTTCGGGACTCGCAGCAACGAAAGGCCTTGAACTCGGGCTGTGACCCACGGAAGGCCTTGGGCTGTTGTTATGGAACGAGAGAAACTTGCAAGATCCTTCGCAGGTGAATTTTAACTGCGAGGACAAAAGAAACCAGGGGTGAAACGATGCACCTCGATCGCCTAGATCGTTCTTCGCGTGCTCCGGAGGCTGGTAAACGCACTTTCAAGAGCCCTATAGCACCAACACCACGCCCGAAAGCTCGTGGTGAAATTGCCAGTTGTTCTGAGGTTGCCTTGTTGAACTGTTCTACTCGTAGATGAGAATGACTTGTATCCATTTCTAACAGCCTGGGACTTACGAGCGGCGAGCATCATTGCGGGGAGAATTCGGCGGTTCGGCCTGAAACGCCACCAGAAGGAGTAACGCTGTTTTTGGTCGCAAAACATGGCGAGATTCGGCTCCGGGAACTCAAAGAGGCGAGCTAGAATTGGCTGCGCGAGTGGTTGTGGCGTGCATGGACAGCCAACCCAGCGCGCTACGCCGCAACAAACATCGTCCACCTGGAAAGCAGACGGCGCGTCACTTGCGTACTCCATCTGCGGCTGCTGCTGCTCCGGCGAACGCATTGCGGGGGGAAGCAGGCACACATGGAGAACACAGGCTGGACTGCTCGGCGCGCTTCAGCGACTCCCTTTTGTTGCAAAAGGCTCCTAATGTATGAGGGGGGGTTTCGTGGGGAAGGGGGGAGCTCTTAATGTATTTGGCGGGTTTTTTCAAGGGAGGGGGAACGGAGGGAGGCAATACATACGCAAAGCCCTAGCTCTTATGTACATCCACCTTCCATCATGACAAACGAATTTACCTGCCGAAGCTGACCCAACGACCTGGTAACCACATAGATTCGCAGCTTTGTTGAACTCGAACCAAAGCTGGGGTGGTTTGTGCTGTTGGTGTGTGGTTGGTTCGGCTCGATTGGGGAGTTGCTTGGACTGTAGTGGTGCAGTATGTTCCAGTGGATATAAATCTGAGCGAACCGGCGGATTGGTTGATAGGCGCATGGGAGTGCCATGTGTAAGAATGCATATGGTCGATAAAACGGCAAACACCCCTTCCCAGATATCACCTTTTGGCACCGTCCAAAGCAAGACCGCGACGACGATCGATACAGTACATGCTGGAATTGTTTGGGTCTGGACGTTAGGAGTTGTTGTAAAGGAAACTATTTGCTTTGTGTTGTTATGTGTCATATAACATATATCCAGGCAATGACAATAGAGAAAACCCTACTCCGCTCCCAAGGCTACAGTAAATGGCAACCCAAACAAACACACATAGGTCCCTGAATGAGTGTGATCACACTATGCAGCCCCTGCTCGTGCTTGCAGAATCGCCTGCCTAAGCTCCTCTTCCAGCTCCAGCTGAGCAGCAACAGCACCGGGACTAGCACTCAAAGCCACCTGGCCTGCCACTGATCCTTTCCCCACTGCTGGGCCATGCCCCTCCATGGTTGCCCCTGGTCCCTGCAAGAGAGTGCCATGCCCATGCCCATACCCTTGACCACGCCCATGCTCATGAGCAGGAGCATTCCGCACAGCAGTGATATCAGCTCTACTCGCACTCACTGGAATGTCCATTCCCACGCCTGCGCCTGCACTGGCACCCCTCGCCATCCCTGGGCGCACCAACCCCTCAGGGCCGGCAGCAGCACCTGCTGCTGTGCTGCCAGCAGGCCCTGCCTTGCTCACAACAGGAACACTGCTCCCACTGCCTGCCACCACCACCACCACCACCACCACCACTGCTGCTGCTGCTGCTGCTGCTGTTGCTGCCAGTGCTGGTAGTACTTGACTTCTCCTTCTTCTCCTCTTTCTTGTCCCCTTTGCCCCTCCACCTACCAAAGAGCCCTCCACCTTGCTTCTCCTTTTCAGCACCACCACTGCCTCCGCTCTGCGTCTTACTGCCAGCCCCCACCGCTGCAGCAGCACTTGGTGCAGGCGCTGCTGCTTTACCATCCTTGTTCCCAGCCCCACTGCCAGCAACAGCAGCACTGCCACCACCCTTGCTTGCCTCTGCCCGCCCTGCAGCTGCAGTCGCCCCAGCACCACCCTCCTTCCCTCCCTTCCCCTTGGTTTCTCCCACACTGCCTGCCTTACCGCCCTCCCCTGAACCACCCTTAACCACTGCAGCTCTGAGTTCATCCACCTGTTGCCTCAGCCGCTGCCCCTCTGCCCTCACCCCCACCAGCTCACTCCTAAGCCGTGCTAACTCCGCCTGCTCGCCCACCACCCCTCCTCCTCCCCCCTGCCCCCGGCCAGCCACTCCCGCGCTGCCACCTGGCGGCACCAGCGCAGGCCGGAACCCAAGGGGTCCAGATGGCATGAGGATCAGCCGAGGCCCGACACCTGGCAGAACGAGAGTGGTGGGTGTGGGCAGGCCGGGCGGGCGGGCGGTGGCAGTGCCAGCACCTGAGATAGCAGCAGGCGAGAGGGGTTGTGGCAGGGCATCAGGTGGCGGTGGTTCGTGCATGGCCCAGCAGGCAGGGATGAAGCGGAAGGCGCCAGTACGCACGTCCACACTGATCTTATCCAGGTGCAGGGTCGGTGCATGGGCAGACGACAGCCAGCCGCCGCCGCTGCTTTTGCTGTTGGTGTTAGGAGATCCAGTTGAAGGATTTGAAGCAGGAGGAGGAGGTGGAGGGGAGGAGGGAGAGGGGGTGGAGTGAGGGAGGGTGAGCCGCCAGCGGAGAGACGCCACTCCGTGAGTGCCAAGTGGCACACTGCTCCGTACGCCAATTCCCCAACCTGCGTTTCTCACAGCGGCTGCCACGTCAGCTGCAGACCACTGCCACGTCACCTGCTGCCCTGATGCTGCTACTGCTGCCACAGCTGCGGCCGCCGCTGCTGTGGCAGCAGCCGCGGCTGCAGCGGCTGTGGGGGAGTGAGGGGGACTGGGGGAGAGCGTGAGACGCTGAGACAGCACGCGAGCTGCGGGAACTGCTGCAGAGGAAGAAAGAGCATTCTGTGCCATGCCCACGCCTCCTCCTGTGCCTTCTCCTGGGGGGCTGTCGCTTGCTCCACCCGCCACCACTCCCTCACTGCTGCTCTCGCTGTTCTGCGCGGAGGGTGACGCAGTAGCAGCAGCAGCAGCTGGGCCCCTCGGGGAGGATATGGCGGAGGAGGCAGCGGGTGGAATACCATTGCAAGCAGCCGCAGCGGAAGTATCTAGTCCGTCTGCTAAAATCCTTTCCCCGCTTCCGCCCACTGCCCCTGGCCCTGGACTGCCCCCACGGCTGCCCCCGCGGCTGCCACCCCGGCTGCCCCCGCTTCTGCTTCCGCCGCTCTGCGGACTAGAGCTTTGGCTGCGCGGCCCGATGGACAGCGGAGTGCACGCGGACACTGACGGCTCCCCGCTCCCGCTGCTGCTTTGCGCGCATGGCTTCGCGTTTCGCGCAGGCGAAATTGTTTCCGCGGAAGCGGCTGTGACTACTTTTGGCGCTGCAGCTACCGCAGCGGAGGGAAATCGGCGGAACGAAAGGTCTCCTACTCGCGGCTCAGCCTTGAAGCGGATATGCGCGCGCAGGGGGACGCGGAAGGCGCTTCCCCCAACGCCACTGGATGGCGCTCCGCCCGCGGTAATGGCGGAAGGACAAAACTCGAGCTCTGCAGCTACCGACAAAGACGCATCGCGGGACGACCCGAGCCGACCGAGCCCCGCCTTCAGCACAAGATGGAGCGACGCGGAATTTCCGCCGGAATCCGCGGAATCATCCTGAGCGGCCGCGGAGAGGGCGGGTGCGCGGATGGGGCGGTAGGTGAGGCGGAGGGAGGGACCGGCGGTGAAGGCGGTACCGAGGGAGAGAGAGACGTCTGAAGGCGCGGAGCCGAGGGAACAGCCGGAGAAGAGCGGAAGCGGAAGTCCTAGAAGCGACACGGGCAGTTTAAGGCGGAAGAGCGGACCGCACGGCGCGTGGTGCGAGCCGTCGCCCTGGCGGAATTGTAAGGACGCGCGCATGGGTGCCCGACAGTGGCGGAGGAGAAGTAAAGCGGAGGAGTAATAATCAATGTGCGTGTCTTTACGTGTGCAGAGGGAGTGCGACCGTTACTCTAGAGTAGTTTCATGACGTTTGGTCTACCCGAAGACGAGGCGCACGAGCGCGTGGAGCATGTAAACGCAAGGCGCGCTGGAGCAAGGAGTAAAAGAAAGGCGACGTGGAAACTAACGAAGCCACATCGCTGCAAGGCTAAGCCAATACTACCAGAAAACGCTTGGCCGAAGGCGAGCGAGCGCCGAACCCAGCCCACGAGGTGACCATCTGTCGTGTCAGGGCTGGCGTGTTGGTCAGCTCCTAATTCGTCGTTGTATTTCGGGAATGGATTGGGAAAGGGTATCTGCAAAATTGCATTCCCAAGGTACACAAACACGCATTCGTGGGGATTGGGTTGGGAATTCCATCAAATATATTGATGAAGTCCGCTTTCGGCGTGTTTCTCCGTCCCTCGGACCTTGATAGCGAAGCGACGTTGCGGGAGGCAATCGGGCAAAAAAATCAGGGTGCGGGCGGGAATTGAAAAGGCTCCCACCCAACGGTTGTCAGCAACAGCCATAGCCCAAAGCTATTTCGCAAAGTTAACAAACTTTGGATATCTTCACTCTCGCCTTGTAACGGGAACCGCAGTAACGACACAATCCCTTCGGCTCACTGGTCCCTTGCGCAAACCCTCAACCTCCACTCCCCCTCCAAAAGCTGCATCTGGTGAGCTCCATCCATTTTTGCATTCACATTCCGTGGGCAATTATGGCTTCCCACCGCCGCGTGATTCTCGGCGGGAGAGGCGCCACGCTAGTGGCCAAAGATGTCTTCGACATTGCGGCGCGCGACTCGCACGTCGAGCTTGACGCCGCCGCCACAGACAAGCTTCAACGAGTGTCGGACCCGCTCCCTAAAGCCGCGAAACAAGCCACACCCTCAGCCCCTGCTGTACCGTCCGCCGACTCCGCCGCGTCGCACCCGGAAATTCTGCGCCGCGAGCAGATGCGCGCAGCGCTCGCCGTTCAGGCGCTGCAGCTGCTCGGGACGGCTGGGATCGCGGCGTCGTTGCGGCCGTCCGTGCCGCAGTTCCTCGCGGATCTGCTCAACTCTAGCGTCGATCTCGCGCTTCCCGCGTCCAAAACAGACGCGCCCGTCGTGCAGGCCGTGCAAGACGTCTTGTTCGGCCAAGGATCGGCCGCCACGTGGAACGAGCACGGCACGGCGTCCTTGTCGTCTCTTGAGGACGCGTTAAAATCAGCCGTCGTGCCGGCAGCGAGCGGTAAAGCCGCGGATTCGACCACGGGGCTCAGTTCTCCGTCCTTATACGAGCACGAGGCCGCCGCCTTTCAGACAAGCACGGCGGCATCGGTGGGTGTGGCGGCTGTAGCGGTGCACGCCGCATCGTCGCTGGTGGCTGTAGCAGACGCTGTCGCGGCTTTCTCCTGCGAGGCGCTCCGCGCCAACGTGGCGGAAATGCTTGATGCGGAGACGGCGGAGGGCGCGCACAAGGCGCAGGCGGAAGTGGCGGGCGACATGCGCGCGCTGTTGGCGGGGTCCAAGTGCGTCAATCCGCGCAAGGACGCGGCCAATCTGCTCGCCGTGCGCGGCATTCCGCAGTGCCACGGGCCGCTCAGGGAGGCGGTCAAGACCGCCGCCAGCGCCGTGCGCGTCGAGCTCAGCTGCGGCGGCGAGAGCGGCGCAGCTGGCGGCGCTGAGGGTGGGGGGAAGGGCAAGAGCGGTGCGGCGGGAGGTACCCGTCTGCATGTGCCGTCGGTGCTGGTGGCGGGCCACGTCGCGTCGCTTCTCCGCGCGCTCTGTCCGCTCGGCGCCTGCAGCGTCCGCCGCATTTCCGCGATGGTCGCGGCGCTGTCGTCGTTGCAGCCGCCGCCAGCAACAGTGGCGCCAGATGCGGCATCCACCGACGCAGCGGTTCGCGCTGCTGACAGCGGAGCAGCCACTGCCGCGCTAGAGCACGCGGGAGGCGCGGCGGGTGAGGTGGCGTACGCGTTAGTGACGGCGCAGGAGACGGTCGATGCTGCCAAGGTGACAGCGGGTGACGTGGCGCAGGCGGTCGCGGCGGCTGATCCGCTCGGCGCGGAGGAGGAGGGGGCAGCGGGCGCAGCGGGCGGAACGGCGGCTGGACGCGGAAGAGAGCGCGGGGCGCGGGACGACGGCGTGCCCGCTCTGATGGCGGCGCGCGCAGCGCTGGCGACAGTGGAGGCGCTGCGGATGGTGCTGGCGCTGGAAGCCGTGGCGGCTCTGCGGCTGCTGCGCGCGCGAGAGGCGGCGCTGGCAGCGCGCACGGGGGGAGGTAAGGCGCCGAAGAAGGAAGACGCGAAGGCGGCGGAAGGCGCAGCGGAGGGACGGAAGGTGGGGAAGGAGAAGGAGGGCGGGAAGGACAAGAAGGGGAAGGGGGGCGGAGGCGGAGAGCTCGCGCTGGGGCGCGGGACGGCCGTGTTGGCGGCGTTCTTGGACGGAATCGTGGGCGCAGCGCAAGAAAAGGCTGCGGGGGACGACAGTGGCGCGGGGACAGGCGCGGGCGCGGATGCGGGGGTGGTGGCGGTGGTGGCCGCGGTAGAGCGCGTGGCGGTGGCGCTGGACCCGCGCGGCGACGAGGTGGCGCAGCTGGAGAGCGCGCTGCGAGGCGCCATTGAAAGCAACGAGTCGAGGCGCGCGCCTAAGATTCCCAAGGTAGAGAAGGACCACTGACTCGGCTGCTGCTGCCTTCCTCCTCCCGTTCCACATCCCCCACTGCTCTTCCTTCTGGCTCTTTTGCCCGTCATCTTCCCGTTCATTTTACCACCCTTCACCCCTCTTTCCCCCGTCCCTCTCTCCGCGCGCCATTCCCCCAGGGCACGCGCGACTTCCTGCCGGACCAGATGGCGATCCGCGAGCGCGCGTTCGCGATCATCGCGGCGGTGTTCAAGCGGCACGGCGCGGTGGCGCTGGACACGCCGGTGTTCGAGCTGCGCGAGACGCTCATGGGCAAGTACGGCGAGGACTCCAAGCTCATCTACGACCTCGCCGACCAGGTGCGTACCTACCACCCGCTACCATCAACCGCTACCATCAACCGCTGTCAAGCGCTTCGCACGCAATCTGTGCTACGTGACGCCTCCCCCCGCGAGTGACTCGTTTCCGTGACATCTTCGCGTCTCATGCTGCGCTCTCCTCAATGTCCCCACCCACCACACCCCTTCTCTACCTCCCGCACTCTTTTCCCTTCGGCTCCCCTCTCTTCCCCCCTCCCTCCCCGCTCCCACCTTCCCACCTTCCTCGTGAACCCCCTTCCCTTCCCTTCCCTTCCCTTCCCTTCCCTTCCCTTCCCTTCCCTTCCCTTCCCTTCCCTTCCCTTCCCTTCCCTTCCCTTCCCTTCCCTTCCCTTCCCTTCCCTTCCCTTCCCTTCCCTTCCCTTCCCTTCCCGTCTCCCTCCGCCACCCCCGCACTCCCCCCCGTGCGCGCAGGGCGGGGAGATCCTGTCGCTGCGGTACGATCTGACGGTGCCGTTCGCGCGGTACCTGGCGATGCACAGCGTGGGCAACATCAAGCGCTACCACGTCGCGCGCGTCTACCGCCGCGACAACCCCCAGATGAACCGCGGCCGGTGCGACTGGGGAGGGCGCGGGGAGAGGGGGCTAAGAGAGGGCGCGGGGAGAGGGGGATGGAGAGGGGAGGGAAGAGAGGGCTATGGGGAAGAGGAGTTTTGAGGGGAAACGATGGGTGCGGGTGGGGAAAAAGTGAGGGGGTGAGAGGGCGAGTGGGTATTGCAGGGTTGAATGGAAGGGGATATGGTTGGGGTGGGGGGTTTGTTGCTCGGCTCGAGCACGTTGCTGAGCAATGTCGTACCCCCGTTCCCTTTATCTCTCCCCTCCGTTTGTCTTTCTTCGCATCGTCCTTATTCTCAATTCATTCCACACAAGAGCCTTGGCCGGCCGTGGCTATGCCATCCCATCTGTGTGTCAGTCAGTCAGTCGGTCGGTCGGTCGGTCGGTCGGTCGGTCGGTCGGTTAGTTAGTCAGTCAGTCAGTCAGTTAGTCAGTTAGTTGCCAAGCCAAAGCTTTCTCCCGTCCAGGGGCCAGTGACGAGTTTGGTTATCCTTGCGCTTTGACTGGGCGGCCATGGCATGCCATGCCGCCCCATGAAGACGCAACCCATGCCATCCGCTAATCATGGCACCCGAGGCCCCTGGCAGCTGGCGGCATTAAAACCGTTCTATCGCTGCTTTCCCCTTCCTTCCTGGTGCTGCCCATGCAGCCTCTTGCCCTTGCTGCGCTGCATGTTGCTGCTTGAGCGCTTCAACTCTCAAGGATGTTCACGGCTGTCTTGCGCCCCTCTCTTTTACCCCCCCATACCCCGTTGTCCTCGTTCCTTACCCAAGCTTTCCGCATTTTCTACCCGTTTCTCCGCCCGCCCCATCTGTACCCATTTCCAAACCTCTCTCTTCCATGCCCCCGTCTGCTGCAAGACCTACCGCGCCTTCTTTTGTACCCTCTTCCTTCTCTCACCACCTCCTCTCCTCAACAACGCTCCCCCCTCTCTGTCCCGTCCCTTCTATTCCCTTTCTCTTCCCGTTCCCCATCTCCCATCCCCCCTCCCTCTCTCCCCATCTCCCTCTCTCCCCATCTCCCTCTCCCATCTCCCCTCTCCCCCATCTCCCCTCTCTCCCCATCTCCCCCTCTCCCCCATCTCCCCCTCTCCCATCTCCCCTCTCCCCCATCTCCCCTCTCTCCCCCATCTCCCCCTCTCCCCCATCCCCCTCTCCCCATCTCCCCCTCTCCCCCATCTCCCCCTCCCCCATCTCCCCCTCTCCCCCATCTCCCCCTCTCCGCCATCTCCCCCTCTCCCCCATCTCGCCCACTTCCCCCATCCCCCGCACGGGCAGGTACCGCGAGTTCTACCAGTGCGACTTTGACATAGCGGGGCAGTACGCGCCCATGGTGCCCGACGCCGAGGTCGTCAAGGTGCTCACCGAGCTGCTCGACGAGCTCGCTATTGGCGACTACGAGGTACAAGGGGTGTAAGGGGTTGCAGGGGGTTGCACGGGGGTGCAGGGGGGTGGAGGGGGGTGCGGAGGGGGTGTGGGGTGCATTCGACGCGGGGGGTGCAGGGGCTGCAGGGCTGGCACAACCACACTGGAATCTTCCCATCCTCGCTGTTGAGCCCTCTGTCTGCAAAACTCAAGCTTCAGGGACTTTTTCTACCTTGCCCCCCTGCCTTCCGCCCTCCCTCCGCGCATCCTGTCTCTGTCTGTCTCTTCTGCCCTCCCTCCTTCCACCCTCAAGTCCTCACCATCCAATCAATTCCAGTTTCTTGACATTCTCCCATCTCCTCCCCGCCCTCTCCGCTCCCCCCATCCCCCCCTCCCCTCTCCCCCTCTCTCCCCCCTCCCCTCTCTCTCCCCCCTCCCCTCTCTCTCCCCCCTCCCCTCTCTCTCCCCCCTCCCCTCTCTCTCCCCCCTCTCTCTCCCCCTCCCTCCCCCGCGCGACAGATCAAGCTGAACCATCGAGGGCTGCTGGACGGCATGCTGGCCATCTGCGGCGTGCCGGCCACCAAGTTCCGCGCCATCTGCTCCGC